GGCTGTAGGCCAAAGGCACTACCCCAGCGGGTGGTGGGCTCTAGGCCACCTTACTCAGACTTCTTCCAGAGCAGTGCAGGCCCAGGGGCATGTGGGCAGAATGATCGAGAATCATGGTTGCACGCCTGGGGGAGGGCACATCCCCTGTGGGGCCTAGAGGGGATGCTGTGTAGGGGCTTTGTGTGTGGGTGGCAGTGAGACAAGCTAACCCAGGGAATGACCCAGCCTAGCCACCTGACCTTTCCTGCCCTCTGTGGATTCTGCCAGGTCCTGACAGCATGGGGCTCTGTGCCTTGAGCTGATCTATGTCTCCCCCAATTCTCATTATCATGGCCTATTTAAAAAAAAATTGTCAACTTGAATTCATTAATTGGTAATTTTTCCTTAAATGTGTCCCATAGAATCCTAAACCCATTCTGATCAGGCCTGAGGATAAACCATGGCTCCCCTGCCCCAGCTCCTTTTTGCCCCTGAACAGATCTGACAGGTTATTTTCATGTGATTTATAATCATTCAAACTGAAACTTGATGATATACCTCAGCAGTATATTAATAGTTTTAGGGAGCACTGAATCAGAGAGTCAGGCCCCAGGAGCACACAATCTAAAAATAACCAGTGTGCATTACAAATGAATTCCTTGACACAGAGAGTGAGCTGTGTCTGATTCAGCATTTGGGTTCACACACCTTTTGCTGAAAAGGAACATTCTTGTCCCTAAGTAGTGGGGACTCCCTTGGCCTCTGTCAGCAGTGTTCATGCCAGGGGCTGGGGACCGTGGGGCTGGTGCAGACAGGTCCACGTCCCCTGCCAGAGTCTGGGATCACGGTGGACTCTGCTCAGGACAGTAGGCGCAGGGTCACTGTGTGGGTTTCCTTTCTCCTGGGTTATTGTGGTTGTGTTTATTTATAGGGGCACCTATTTTATTCCTCAAACTTTGATTTTTCAAATTTAGACTAGAATTTGAAGATGTAGAAGCCTCAATAATGAATAGATAAAAGGTGTACTTTATATTAATTCTCACAACCCAATTGTTATAGGCAAGAGAACACTTAAAAAAATAAAAACTCCTTCATTCTGCTGAAAAATTGTCTTACTTTTAAATACTGAAAGAAACTAGCAGTCATATAATAGACAGTTAGCTCCAGATAACTTTACTTCCAGACTCTGTGCCCTCTAAATGGCATGGTTTTAAAATCATACTGGCAAATGCTGAGGTCCTGGGAAGTTCTCTAGCCGCAAATGCGTGGGTCTTGTTTAGGTTTGGAAACAAGTTTGGAAAGGGTGTCTGTTCTCTGGTGTGTGTGTGTATGTGTGTTTGTGTGTGTGTGTGTGTATATGTGTGTTTGTGTGTGTGTGTGTGTATGTGTGTTTCTCTCCTTATTTATTTTCTCTCATTTTGTCTGATAAACTTTCATACCCACCCACAAAAGTCCATTTTAAAGACATACCATTTTTAATGAAAGCACTTACTTAAAGTAGAAACTTCAAGTCCCACAAATTACTGCCTAGGGGCACACATGGCTCCNGGCTATATTGTGTTTCATTGTTCCAATGAACTCTGATTTATTTAGTCACTATTTATAGCTTACTGCTGAATATTTAAGATGTTCTCCAGTCATTTCTTGCCACAGAGAATACTGTGCATGTGTGCATCTCCCTGTACAGGTGTGGGCATATGTGTACATGTATGTTGCTAAAGGTGGAATATCCCCAATGAAGGGGACGTGTGTGTTTTCTTATGGCTAGAATTCAATGTCTGATACAACTGCCAGCATTATTGAACTGATGGCAAATGGCTGTCCTCTCACCTACAGAGGATTGAACCCAAGGTTCCTGTTTTCCAGTAACTTCAGAAGCGAACTGCATTACCAGGCATGGTGGTGTCTTAGTCTGAGAGGAGAAAATGACATTTTGCCTTTGCTTCAGTTCCTGAGTTATGGCCAAGGTTTGGTCTTCAGCAAGCTGTTAAGTGTCCCTTGGTTCCCCTTTCTGTGAATGGCCTGCTGAATGTTCTTTGCTCACTTTCCTACTGTTTTCTTTCCCTCCACTCTTTGAATACTTGCACAGGCACAGACTATCCATCTTCCCCTTTTCTGCCACATCTGGCAGGAAAAACTGACAGCATGCATTTTATTTTATAGGATTGTGTATTAAAAAAAAAAACCCTCGCAGAGTGTGACAAGCCATGCCATCTGCATCATGCCTGGTATGTAGCACTGGGTCACTCCTCTCTGTGCAAATGAAACATTTTCACTTTGTAAAGGTGATTTTTAAAAATGACTGGAATTCTGATCTCTGCCAAGCACAGTTCAAAATAGAAAGGAACTCTAGAAAGTAGTAGGAAAGTGGTGGGTCCACAGGCCGGGGGATGACAGTGTTACAGGATTCTGGCGCCCTCGCCCAACAACGGAAGCCACCTGGCCTGGCCTCTGCCCACCAGCGCCAGCAACAGAAGGCAGTCATGTCAGAGCCCTGCTCACCTGGACTCCACAGGAAGTCCTTCCAGACCCTCAGGGAGGCTGAAGGAGAGCCCTGCAGCCAGGGAGGTGCCCTTTTTCTGTACTAGGCCTGAGGCCACCTTCTCTCCTTGGAGACACCTGGGTGGGTGTGTGAGAGACAGGCTGTTGACAGTAGGCAGCCTGGTCTGGGGAGGTTTTCTTTGTAGCCCATGCCCTCCTGCTGCCCAGACAAGACAGGGCAGCTAGTGGTGGCCTCCCAGCCACCCCATAGCCAGGCTTGGGGATGACACTTCCACTCCTCAGGTGGCATAGCAGGGAGTGGTGGAGACCAGCAGCATTAGATCACCAGACTAGTGGGGAGGCTCTCAAACCTAAGGTGCCCTTAGCCCCATGGCCCACCACGCAGGGCCCCCACCAGGGTGACTGTGGCTGAGTGACAGAGTAAATAGGACCCAGAGTCTGTTTATGCACCAGACAAGCATGTGGGGCACAGTAGATATTACCCAGAACAAAGGACATCTCTGTACCCGTGAGCAAAGGTGATTTGCTGGCCCATGATGAGAAGACCTAGGGTGGAGGGAGACAGGGAGAAGGAGATTCTCAGCAAATTCGGTGACCAGCACAAACATGCAGACCTCGAGCAGGACAAGCTCAGAGGCACCCAGGAGTCCATCATAAGCTTTGGGATTAAAGTCAGAAAAATAAAGTCATGAAGGCCTAAGACAGAAAGGCCATGCTGCCATGGGGGACACGTGGGTGACAGTGGCTCTCTTGTCTGAAACCACAGGACCTGCAGAGAGAACATCCTCAAATGCCAAGAGACAACAGCTGCCGGCAGTAAACTCTATCCAGAACCTTTTCTTCAGAACTGAAGGGGAAGTAAAGTCCCTTTCAGATGAGGAGTACGTGGCTGGATGACCCACTCCCAGAACCATCTAAGGGAAGCTCTTCTGTCAGAAATGCGAGGGTAAGATCTTGGAGGGTGAGGAAGGAACGGAGATACTGTGAAGGGCAGAAATGGGCACACAGACAGATGAGCATTCTCCTCATGCGCTTTGTGATGATTTCTGATAAATTAAGCAGTAATTACAACATCGTCTCATCCTTAAAACAATAATACTTAAAAATGGGGAAGGTAAAGGGGCATCAGTAGGGCTCTCACTTCACTTGAAATGATAAAACATCGATGCCTGTAGATGCTGTAAGTTCCTGAGTATATGGTACTCTCAGAACAACCACAGAGATATACTCAAAACCACTATAATTAAACAAGATTCATCCCATTAAATCTTCAAGAAACCCAAAGGAAGGCAAGAATGAAGAAAGGAATGACACCAGAATAAACAGAAAACCAATAATAAAATGGAGGATTTAAGACCTAACCCATCAATAATGATCTTATATATGAATGACTTAAGATACCAATTTAACATAGAGATGAACAGTGTGGATTAAAAAATGTGACCCAACTATGTATGTTTATAAGAAATGATCTTTTAATTAAAAAACATAGGTGGATTGAAAATAAAAGGATGGAGATATGTGTCATGCAGACATTAATGTTTTAGAATGCAGGAATAATATTGATACTTGGCAAAGTTGATGTTCCTAAAGACAAAGAGGGACATTATACATTGATAACGGAAAGAATCTGCAGGGAGACAAGACAGTCCTAAATATGTACCTAGCAAACAACAGCCTCAAAACACAGGAAGCACAAGCTGATGGAAGTAAACAGAGAAATGGGAAAATCATTTTCTGATGGACCCACGAGGAACACTCCACCCAACAGTGGGGGACAGATGCTTTTTCAGGAGCCTGTGAAACATTCATTAACAGTCCTTTAAACAAACTTCAACAAATTTAAAGAATTGAAATGATATAGTAGATACTCTGAGCATAATGGGATAAAATTATCAATCAGAAGCCAAAGTCATTAGAAAACTCCTAGAAATTAAACATTATATTTCTAAATAATTCATGACTAAAAAGAAAGTCTTAAAATACATAAAAATATGCATAGTACTGAATCAAAGTGGAAACACAACCTGAGTAGAACTGGAAGAAATTTGCAGCATTAAAGGTCCATGTTACAAATGAAGAAAGGCCTAAAGAAACAAGCCACAATCCTACCTCAATAAACTAGAAAAATAAGAGCAAAATAAACTCAAAGCAAGCAGATGGAAGAAAATGATGAAGATAAGGGCAAAAATCAATGAAATCAAGCATAGGAAAACATTAGAGAAAATAATTAACAAAATACTGGTTTTCCCAATTATCAGTAAAGTTGATATTTCTAGCAACACTGACAATCACCAATAAATGCTATAAATTACCAATATACAGAATAAAATGGGGTATAGCACAGCAGATTCTGCAGCCATTCGTAAGATAATAAAACTGCAAACAACTTTATGTTCATAAATTTCACAATTAAGAATAAATGAACCTTCAGAACCACAAACTACCAAAATACAACCAAATGAAATAGAAAATCTAAATAGGCCTTTCATTATTTAAAAAAATCAAGTTGTCCCAAGATGGCGGCCACCATGAAGAAGGCGGCTGCAGAAGATGTTAATGTTACTTTTGAAGATCAACAAAAGATAAACAAATTTGCACGGAATACAAGTAGAATCACAGAGCTGAAGGAAGAAATAGATGTAAAAAAGAAACAACTCCAAAATTTAGAAGATGCTTGTTAGGACCTCATGCTTGCAGAAGACGACTGCTTAATGATACCTTATCAAATTGGTGATGTTTTTATTAGCCATTCTCAAGAAGAAACACAAGAAATGTTAGAAGAAGCCAAGAAAAACTTGCAAGAAGAGATTGATGCCTTAGAATCCAGAGTGGAGTCAATTCAGCGGGTGTTAGCAGATTTGAAAGTTCAGTTATATGCAAAATTTGGGAGCAACATAAACCTTGAAGCTGATAAAAGTTAAACATTTTATAATACTTTTTAACTTTGTTTAATAAACTTGAATATTGTTTAAAATGATAATTTCCCTTCAAATGAAATGGAAAGCAAAACTTTCTTTTTTTAAAATTCTCATTTATTTAATGGAAATTTGCTATTTTCACATGTCTTGCTTATTTATTTTATATTTTTGAAAGAAGACAGTATTCACCTATGTATTTTGCATAATGACTATATCAGTTGTAGGGGCTTTATGTCATGTTATTAAAACCAGTTAAGCAATCAAAAAAAAAATCAAGTTGTAATAAAAGCTCTTGAAAGAGTAATCTCCAGGGACAGATAATTTCAATGGAGAATTCTATCAAAAATTTAAAGGAAAATTAAGCAAATTTTATAAAACCTTTTCCAGAAAATAGAAGAGGATGGAGTACTTCCCAAAACATTGTATGGGCAGTCTTACCCTGATAGTAAAAACAGAACAAGACAGTAGAGAAGGAAAGAGAAACTGCAGACCAATATCTGTCATGAACACAACACTCTACAACATATTAGCACACCAAATCTAGGTATGTCTGACAAAGAATTACTCACCGTGACCAAGTGGTATATATTCCAAGTGTGTCAGCTGGTTCAACATTTGAGAGTGAAGCAATGTAATCCAGACACTTCCTGAAACTGAAGAAGAAAAATCACACGATCATATTAAACAATGCAGAAAAAGCATTCAACATAATCCAAAATTCATAACAAAACTCTGATCAAGTTAGGAATAGAGAACGTCCTCAACTTTATAGGAGCATCTGCAACTTCCCTACAGCTAACACTATACTTAATTACTTAATGGTGAAAATTTGCTGATTTTTTCTTAGGTTTCAGAACAAAGTAAGGGATCCTCTTTCACTACTCCTATTCAGTGTAGTACTAAAGGATCTAACTAAAGTAATTGGGTTAAAAAAAAGGCAATAAAAGCACCCAGATCAGAAAGTTTCCCTGTTACAGATGACTTGATTGTTCACATTGAAAATCATAGGGAATCTATAAAAAAAGAGCAACCAAAATTCCTAGAGCTGATAAGTGAAGTAGGTTTGCAGCACATAAGATCAACACACAAAAATCAATTGTAATAGTACATATCAAAAATAGAATGACATAAAAACACAATACCATTTACAATTGTCCAAAGAAATGAACTTGTATGTGTACTGAACACCATATATAGGAACTATATGATGAGAATGAAAAGAAGTGAAGAACCAAAGATCGAAATAAATGGAGACATACCATCTTCATGGATTAGAAGACTCAGCATAGTGAAAACATCCATTCTCCCCAAATTTATTTAGAGGTTTAATGTAAATCCTATAAAAATTTCAGCAAGGTTATTTTGAAGACAAAACAAAATTTATTTTAATTCTATATGAAAGAGTGCAGGACTTAGAATAGATTAAAAAGAAAAGAACTTGAGAAAGAAAAAAATGGAAGGAATCCCTCTACCTAACATTGTCTTAGTACATGACTACAATAGTAAATACAGTGTGGTATTGGCAAATGGATAGAAAAATTGATCAAAGGAAGAGAATAGAGAGCCCAGAAATAGACCCAATTGGTATTTGACAAAATAGCAAAACCAGCTCAATGGAAAAAGGGATAGTCTTTTCAATAAATGCTGCTGGAACAAAGGGATGTCCAAAAGCAAATAAATAAACAAACAAAAAAACCAGAACAAACAAAATACAGGTCTTAGATTTAGACAGGACTTACAACCTTCACTAAAATGAACTCCAATTGGATCAACTGGTTGTTGATAATGGTGCAAAAGCAATTCATAACAGAAGCATGGCTTTTATTGCAAATGGTGCTGGAGCAACTGGACATCCATAAGGAAAAAAGTGACATTCCACCTAAGTTACACCTTCTACAAAAATTAGTCAAAATGGACCATGGATTTCTATGTAAAATTTAGCATTATAAAGCTTCTAGAAAAAATATAGAAAGAAATCTATGGTACCTAAGTTTTAGAAACAGTTATCAGACTTGATCATAAAGGTAGAGTCCATGAAAAAAATGACAAACTAGACTTCATAAAAATTTAAAACTTTTGCTCCATGAATGCCTATGTGAGGAGGATGAAAAGGCAGTCTATTGACTATAGAGAACATATTCCAACCACATATCTGACAAAGGATTAGTATGTAGAGTATATGGAGAACTTGAAAAATTCAACAGCAAAAAAAGTAAACCAATTAGAAAACAGGCAAAAAATTTAAAGAGACATCTCACCAAAGAGGGTGTAGTGGTAACAAAAAGCATATGAATAGAGGTACATTATTATTGATCAGGGAAATGGAGATTAGAACTCCAGTAAGCTATCACTACACATCTATCAGAATGGCTAAAATAAAAATGGAGCCAACACCAAATGCTGGTGAGATGTGGAAAAACCAGATCTATCATCCATCAATGGTGGACATGTATGCACTCTGGAAAACAGTTTGCCAGATTTTTTTTAAGGATACATATTCAATTTGATGGGGCGTATGACCTCATCATGGCATGCTTGGGCATTTATTCCAGAGAAATGAGAAGGTATGTTCCCACAAAAGCATGTACAGGAGCATCCACAGTAGCTTCATTTATAACAGCCAAACTGGAGTCAGTCCAGATGTCCAACGGCAAATGGGTAAACATTGTCCTACATCTAAACCAAAGGATACTATTCAGCAAAAAAAAAAGGAGCAAGTCAATGACACATGCAATACCTTGGATGAATGGCCATGGAATTATGCTGAGTGAAAAAAAATTCTAGAAGGTTACATACCTTATGATTCTATTTATGTAACATTTTACATATATTATGTTATGTGTATATATAGGTAGCAGATTATTTATTTACCAGGAGTTGGAGTTAGGGCCATGGGAACAGGTGCAGAGGCCAGCACAGGGGTTCTTGGTATGAAACTGTTCTGTATCTTGACTGGTGGTAGATATGCAAAACCCCTGTGGTGATAAATAATAAAACTGAATACACACACACACACACACACACACACACACACACACACACACACCAATCCTAGAACTGGAGAAATCTGAAATAAGATTGATGTTTGTATCAATGTTAATCCTGGTTGTGATATTATACCATATTATAATTATATGGCGTATTTTGCAAAATATTACAATTTAGGGAAATTGGGCAAACTGTGCACAGATGTCTCTGTGTTATTTCTTAGAACTGCATGTTCAAAAAAAATTCAATTAAAGGTGGAATGTAAAGTGCACAAATGCTGAAACAAGAAAATCAAAAGGAGTAAAATCTAAATTCTAATGTCAAAGATGTGTTCTTCGGATTTCTTTCTCCCCTTTACTGTTTTCAGAAGTCTGGGCCCTCGGTGGTGCAAAAGCAGCGATGTCTCGCAGTAAATGGCTCACACAGTTCAAACCTGCCCGGTCTGGCTGAATCTGGGGCTGTGGACACTCTTTTGACAAATTTGGGAAGCCTCATTGTGGACTTGCTAAGCTTTGTATCTAAACTCTCACACAAATGTCCATCCACAGTGCATGTTTACCCCCAATTTTGTACTTGATCTGAGGCTGTAGGGCTGTAGTGTCAGGTAGGCTGTGCCTACAGAGGAGGGAGACCCTTGTCTGTGTACAGCACACTGTGCACTGTCTGGCAGCCTGCAGGTGTGATTTTTATCATGAGTGTGTCCCAAGGATTTGGCTTTGTCTAGGTGGTCTAGGGGAGTTGTATTTCTCAACCTGCCATCAGAGGGTCAGGACTGGAATGGTTCACTTGGCCAGAGCTAAGTAGGCCGGTACGCTGCTGGTGTGCTGATCAACCCTGGGGACAGAGGGATGGCAGGGTGCTGCCTCTCGGTCCTCCTCAGCCCCCGAGTAGGAACCCTCCTGCTGTGAGCCTCATGGGCCTCGTGAAATTCAAAGTCTCAGAGGTGGAGAGGGAATCAGCAGCCCACATGTGTCCCAGGTGAGGCTGGCGACACTGGTCCCCATCACACTCGGAGGAGCCACAGGGCTGTGCTCCCAAGTAGCCTGGAAGGCCTCTTGTCCACAGGGGGTGGGGTAGACAAGGAGGGTGGCAGCCATCACTGCATCCCTGATCCAGCAGCCTCCCCAACACACCAGCAAAAGGAGGATGCGTCAGGTGTAGGGGCTGGAACTCCACGTGCACTGGGGCATTGAGGAGGGGTGCAGACCCTGCAGGTGAGAGGGGATTCCCTGGGAAGGGGTGTAATGAGGAGACAGAAGAAATGTCAGTGGCAGTAAGATTAAGGGGTGCGGGACCAAGACCTCAGAATCCAATAGAGAAAAACCTGGGAGTCCACGCCAGGCAGTGAAGGGCCCGAAGGGGCTGGTGGTGGTGATGGCTTCCAGCACTGCTTGTCCATGTCACCCAACTGGGTGTGCTCTGTCCAGTTCTGCCACCTTCTCCCTGTGGTCACAGAGACCCCAGGAGTGAAGGCTCAGTCCCCAAGCCCACCCCCTTCAGACACAGTCACTAGGGTGCCTCCTGCACTTCTGACAGACTGTGAATTCGGGATGGGGGGCTGTCCCCAAAATCTGCTAGAATGACACTCAGAAAAGGGAATGGCATTCTACTTACAACTACAGTTTGTTATACAGGACCAGCTCAGGGACTGCCAGAAGGACCCAGGGGAGAGGGCTGGAGATGTCCAGAGTTCACTCTTCATATCTTTTCCTATTTTTTAGAATCAACTTCTTTCTGATTTGAAGACGATGGCATAAATTTGGTTACAATTCCATTACCGTATTGGTACATGGGAAATTTCACCTACTAGTGTGTTGTTTGACTTTCTATATTTTGAAATGCCTCCAAATCATTTCTTTCATTTTGATACGCACCAATTCAGTGATATTTTTCCTTTTTAATTTTTGGTATTTTGTTTGCATTTTAAAAATCTATAACTAGGTTATAAAGATCTGTATTTCTCTCTTTTTTTTTAGTTTAAACATTAAAAAAAATCTTGGCTTTAAAAGGGTTGGCATTACTGCATATGGTGTTGAGTGGAGTTTTCTCTGCAAACAATACCTTCTTGCGTTGC